CACTCACTCACTCTCTCTCGTCGCTTCAGTCCACAGAGTCCTCGTGCGGCTGACGCATTGGCTCCAGGGTTGGCTTGACTTGTCACAGACGACATGCACCAGAGAAAGGAAAGCAATGCCGAGAGATGCGCCCTCACCTGTTTCCGGGCGCGCGCTGGTACTCCGCGCCGTTGGCCTGCATGGTCGCCTCGTCCACGAACTCCCCCTGCGCCCCGTCCATGGGCGCGCCTCCCCGCTTGCCGAAGTTCCTGGCCGTGGACAGGACGACGTTCTTGAAGCCCCGGATGGTGCGGGGCTTGGTCTGCACCTGCCTGCCGGGCCCCGGGGCGGCGCTGGCCGAGGCCACGATGAGCACCAGCACGGCGGCGCACAGCAGGGCGAGGGGGGCGGTGGCCTGGCAGCGCATCCTGGGGGCAGAGAAAGCGACGGGCGCGGCGCGCGTCAGACAAAGGAGTACAGCGCGGGGGTGGCTCTGGCGTCGGGTGGGGGCGCTCGTGATATGGGTGGATCGGTATGCAGCCCACCTGTCTGCCTCGAGAGGTCCTCCTGAAAGTGGTTATTGTGTTAGGAGTGTGTGTGTGGAGGCGTACCCGGACAGAATGAACAGGATGTCGCGCAGTAGTACACGGTGAAAATTGTTCCTTCTTGTCGAAGGACCATCGGAACGATTCAAGGACGCCCCATGAAATTTTCCCTATCCCGTTCTTGAATCCTTCCGATGGTCCTTGGATATCAAGGAACAGTTTTCACCGTTTAGGTACGTAGAAAGCCGTTGTAGCAAAGGGATCATCTGTTACGAAACTCCCCAACTGCAAGCTCTCATAGCGCCTGATAGGTAGGCAACTGCGTGCCTGCAGTGCATGCGTGTACTGCGGGCTGGCCTACCCTAAGTCTTGCAGGCGCTGTGGACCCGTACTTATTTTTTTTTACCGATGATCCCAAACCGCATCATAGAAGCAGCAACAACACGCTCTCTGTCGCAGGCTGAAATATGCGGTTGTGAAAGTAAGTTAACTAGTCGCTGCAGGTAGCAAATGACAGCCACTACGACGGCAAGTCATTCCTCTCCGTGCATAGAGACGCATCCCACCCGCTCACTCCAGCAGCAACGTCCACCGGAGGCTCTCTCTGGGGGACCCAACCTCCTGCCCCTCAGTCACCTATCGGGCCGCTCACTCTAGCAGGTACTTACGACATTACCGTCGCTGGAATGAGCTCGTAACCGCGTTAGTATCTGGAGCAAGGCGCGGCGCGCGCGAGCAAAAGAGGGCCGTCAGCCCTGCAACCTCCCCCTCACCTGCCCCCTCCCCCCTCCACACACGCGGAGCTGAGGAGGGGGCATCAGGGCATCACAGGCCCTTGCCCCTGGTGCAGGCAGAAATGAGAATGAATAAACCTCGCTTTGCCCTTTTGAAAACACGCGCGGAGCACGGCGAGCGCACTTCTCCTCCGCCTGGAGCCGAATGAAGGGGGAGGTGGTGCAGCGGTCGCCGAGGGGGGAGACGAGGGGTGTCCGGGGGCGTAGCGCGCGGGAGAAGAAATGAAAACATACGCGTAACGCTGAGGGGTCGGCGCGAGGAGCAGCCCCGGCCCAACCACACGCCACGTCAGAATGGTACGTTGTGTAAAAGAACACGCCTCACCGAGTAGCGCGCAGACCAGTCGACTCGCATAGGCAGCAGCTTCGGTTGCTTCGACCCTCCCCTTCTTGAGCAGGTCCTGCGTCCGTCGTCCAATCACCCGCACGACAAAGTCACCTTCTCTCTCTCCCTCTCTCTTTCTCTCTCTCTCCCTCCCCCCGACCCGCACCCCCGCGCCCGCGGCACTCGCTCGAGCCCCTGACCTTACCCTCTGTGCTGGGCTCGCGTTTACCCGCCCTCCTCCACTCGCCCGCTGCCACCCGGATCCCACAAGTCAATCGCTCGGAACCCACCGCTTGCATCTCCGTGCCGAGGGGCGGAGTGCAGAGCGCTGCGCTCGGCTCGGAAGAGGCGTGTAATTGCTGCTGCTAGGTGATGGCGTTCGCAGGGATTGGGGGGGCTCTGCAGTCGGCCTGGACAATTATTTCCCGGAAAGTGGAGAGGAGAAGCAAGGAGCAGCATCCCTTAACAGCGCAAATCGTTTCTTCAAGTACCCTTGGTCTCGGCCCCTGCCCCTGCCTGCCGCCCACCAAAGTCCACCCCAGCCCGCTCCCCTCCCCCAACCTGTTTAAAGTTTCATTCATCTGGTCGGCCCTCCCCCGAGAGAAGAGCTGTGAATATTTAGCAGGTCGGGATGAAAAGAAGCTTCGCTCTAAGGGCCTCTTAGGCACTTCATTTTTGCCCCCTTGTGTTAGCGGCAGGCCGCCATGCCGGACCCCTGACAGAACCGGGGGATTATTTTTTTTTTCCGCCGGAGAGAAATATCGACTACCGGCGCGACTATCTTCCGTGAAATATGTCACCGCGCGTCACGTGTACAGAGCACAGCCTTCAAGATGGTAGAGGAGCGCGGGGAGGTCGCCGTGGCGTCCGGTTCAGTCGCAAACCCCAGAGATGCGCACAGAGACGGCACGGCGTGGCGCAGTGTGGCCGTCCGTGCAATCCGCGCGGAATTAAAACTTTCTGCTGCGCTACTTAGCCTAGCCTCCTGCACAGCTGGCTCTTATCGGGCTCCGGGGTAGGGCTCGAACACACGGCCCGGTATTAATACTACTGTCTGTTATTTATCACTATATTTTGCTGAGAAGTACTTTTAATCTATTCCGCGGGAAAGTCGATAGCGAAGCTCCTCGAAAATCACCGGCCGATACCTACGACGAGTAAGATTCGTCAGTCTCAGGAGCAGGTATGGTGTGGCGGGCCGCCCTGTAGCAGCAGCAACCACTAACAGTGAATTTGCGATAATTATACTAACACAAAATATTGTCGTAGACAAATACCGTTTTGGGAGTCCCATTATTCATCAATCCCGCAGAATGCGATAACTTGCTATCGCAAATAACATGCGATGTTATAAGGACAAAATTGTTGCAAATCAAATTTTGATAGACGTCCTCGAAAATAAAATGCACTAACAAAGTTATCGCATCATTTTTGCGATAAAACGTACTCTTCAGTTAGTTTTGCAATAATTTTCTCCGTTTAAAATTGTATTGCATTTTATTTGCAAAAGCGAGTCTTTGTATACGGGGAGCAATGCAGAAAGGGAATCTCAAATTCCTATGGCATGGCTAAATATTTGGTGTCAGTATCGCAATCTCGATTACACTGCCTCCCACCTCATCATAGACACCCGAACCGCGCCACGCCACGCACCGTCGCGGAACAGAGTAAAAGGGGGAAACCTAGACGCTGGCATCCCCTACCATCACATCACGAACGAGTAGTAGCAGCTCCTTACAGGTGCATTTTATTCCACATAAAAACGGGAGCCATGAAGTGGAAACACCGCATTTTGACATGCAAAATTTCAGTTGGTAAAAATTACAACGTTGACCTTTTTTGTTGGTCCGAATCTCCACACTCACTCACTACCCGATCCAGAGTGCCCGCCCCCACCCCCAAACGCCGAGAGCTGCGAGCCTGGCCGTGTCCGCGCGAGGCGCGATAGACACGCCCTGCCAGACAGCTGCCAATCTCAGATAAATTACATTTTTAAAACGTCTGGCCGGCGCCATGGGGGGGCCCGGGCCAACTTTTGCTTGTGACAATTCATCTCGATCGACGACAACGCTCCTGATGGCGGCGTGCGTAGCGCCGCCGACGCGAGCGCTGTGCGCGGTGCGCCAGAACATGGTAGCAGCTGACTGCGGCGCAGAGCGTCGGACTGACAAGTGAAGCCTATCAAATACTATTTTGACTGACATTAAATTTTTTTCAGGTTTGGAAGCCACAATAAATACAGCCGTGAATACTTGACAGAGGATGTGAATTGGGGTGGAAAAGGGGGTGTGGGTGGGGGTGGGGGTTCCCTGGTGACCAGGACGGCAGGTGTCATAAGGCCCGATGGCCAGAGACGGCCTTAATACTGGCCGCTTTATGGGTCGCGGGTCATCACGAACGTTATTAGATGGAGTGGAGGGGAGGATCAGCATTGACGTCGCCGTCCTCGCACTCCTAGAGGAGGGTAAAAGAAAGCCTCTCACCTTCCCGACCCCCACCCCTCCGTCGGTCGAAATCCTGGATCCACGCCTGTAATGAAAAGACAACAGAGAAAAGAAGGCATGCAGAGCTGAGCTAAGCAGGTGAGTGCCCGGCGCGGTAGGCAAGGTGACCGTGCAGCACGCACCCGTGCGAGCGAGTGGCCTACCTCACAGGCGCTCCCAGCAGAACTGAGC